TCTTCATTGCTCACCTCCTCTTCCGAGGAGTCGCCCGTAGGCTGATATTCCACTTTGGAACTACCATATTACTCCAGCAGAACTTTCAAGCCAACATGTGGTGCAGTTGATGTAGATGGGCCGCCGCTTTCAAACGCTCTAGCGCTGCCAAAATGCTAGCATCCCTCTTCTTTGCTTGGTTGGCAAAGGCCGACTATGCTTCTTCCATACATGTTAATTGTTTATGGAGTTTTGCAAATTGGACATAATTTCATTGATCGTTGTGGTAGGTATAGCTCTACGCTGTGTAGAATCTCGGAGCATCAGACGCTCCAGCGTATGCTTGTCAATCACCAGGTTATCTTTAAGAGGCTCCTCGTCGTCAAGGACTATTACGTCTCTGCGGAGGCAAAGTTTGGTGATGAGACTGGGGAATAAAAGGCGGTCGGTTCTCTTGGAAGCACATTGGGCAATCTCCCTGTGAATGAGCTGTCCGACATCGATTGAGCGCCCCTTAGGATGCAGACTAGCAGAAGGACCCTGTCCTTTGTAACAGATGAATCATGCGTTGTACGCATGACTCGGCTCTTGACAAAATAGAGATAGACGTTAGCTTCAGCAGTGAGTTGACAAGACTTGAGCGAGCGGACGTCTTTATTTGTGACCTGCCAGGAGGCACCTTCTACCCCTACCAGTTGTAGGGTGTGGTCAAGCTCACGAATACAGGGCTGTTGGACAAGCTCATTGAAATCAGCGCACGGGTTGTTGGGGAGTTTGAGGATTTTGTTGATCTTCTCTGGCGTCCAATCCATCTCGACATCCCTCACGACTCTACGACCCACCCTATCAACATCAAAGTTCGAGTAGAATTCTCGAACAAGCTCCGTCAGCACTGGCATAGGGGGCGTAAAGAAATGGTCCTACTTTAGTTTTGCCGCTCCCCCCTTAACAAACTGGGCATGTTCGCCTCGACAAAGTCCTTCTCCAGGTAAAGGTCTCTTCCCTTGATGGCTCTGTAGTTAGCCCGCGCTACTGGATCCACAAACTTCTGAAAGAATGCCTGGTGTGAAGGCACGATGTTGATGTGCTTGTGGAATTGGGCGTTGGTGGTACCTGCAAAACAGAGGGCAGACTATTGTGCCGCTTCCCCTCAGATGGGGAGGCGGACTTTACCGATTTCGATTTAGCGGGTAGGGGCGAAGGTACTTTTCGGGTTTTTTACTTTTTGGCTGGACTGGGGATCGACAGGGAGGATGATGGGCGTTTAGTTTTGCGGGTACGCGAGGCAGGACCGGTGGTAGATGTGGTTTTGGGGAGCACCAAAGAGTGGATCTCCTCGACGACAATGGGTGAATGGACAGTGGATATGAGAGTGGGGCTCACTGGGGTTTGGGATACAGCCATTTGGGTGGGAGGAGGGGGTAGATTTGTAGTAGTGGACGGCGGTTAGGTGTTTAGGACGAAGGGAGGAATGATGGATTTAGCTGGGCTAAAGGGCAGCGGTCTTTCGATAAAGGACGAAGGGTTGTCTGGTTGGATTTGTTGGAGAGGGGCAGTGAGGTATTGAACGCTTACTTGAGGACTGGCGACTGACGGAGGCGGTGGCGGGAGTTCTGAATCAGTCGGAGTATGCTCCAAACTAGTTGGAATGTGCTGGACAAGACTTCGCTCGTCGGAAGCTTTTGGCGGCGGGATCGTCTCCCTGCCCTCCTGGAACTCATCGCTAGAGCCTTCACTCACAGAGACCTTCCAACTTGTATGCCTTATTCCGATTAGCTTTGTGCTTGATTCTAGCCATGGCGATGTTAGGGTTTCTGGTTTGCAAAGAGAGAGGTAGGTATTTTGAAGAAGTTTAAAGGAGATGGGGGACGATTATGGAGCAGAATGAGGGAGGAAGGTGGGGAATGTGGGTCTTAAAAAGGGAAAAACCGGATTTGTAATTACACCAATCTTCCCCCGATTTTTCAATTTTAAAATCCTTCCAAAAAGCATAAATACCCTCAAATCATGATAATTATTTCCTCTATCCCAAAATCTTGATAATTACTAACTTATTTCCTCAAATAATGTAGCCGTATTTGCCTTAAATGCAAACCTGCATGTCTGCCACGCTTCAGCGCTCCCACCTGCTCTCTTTCTCTGCCTTCGTCAGTGACATCACTTCGTCATTACTGCTGCCCACCTTTTGTTGTAAGCCACTCTACGCCTGATTTCAACCTTATCCCCCTACAAAATAAAATAAACAAAATTAAATTGCAAGAATTAAAGACAAACCAATCAAAGTATATAAAACTCAAAATTAAAATGTGGGAGCATGAAAATGATTTGCAACTGAATCTTGCTCCATTATTCCTCTGTTGATTGTTCTCAGTGTGTGGCGAAGTGGTAGGCTCTGACATTTCTCACCATGTTCTCGCCATAGAAATGCTTTAGCCTCTGCTCGTTCACTGTAAATTCTCTTTCTGAATCAATTTCTTGTACCTTGATGGCTCAATGAGGGTATACATGTGAGATTAAAAATGGACCTGACCATCTAGACTTGAGCTTTCTTGGGAAGAGCTTCAACCTTGAGTTGTAAAGCCACACCTGCTGTCTTTTTTCAAACTGCCTTGGCTGGATTCTCGCATCATGCCATCGCTTTATCTTTTCATTATATATGTTGTCATTTTCGTATACGTCTCTTCGAAACTCCTCCAGCTTTAACAATTGCAAGCGACGTACATCTCTTACTGTAGCATGGTCCAAATTTAGCTTCTTGACGGCCCAGAATGCTTTATGCTCCAGCTCGAATGGGAGGTGGCATGATTTTCCAAAAACCAATTTGTACGGAGAAGCGCGCGAACGCATGTGCTTCGATATTGTTTTAGAATTACAACAAAGAAAAGACATAAGCATGAATAAAAGGAAGTTAGTGATACATACCTCATTTAGACACCAATGCCACCACAAAGTCTTCCTCGCTATCCTCTGGAAGTTAAGAACTCGGTTTATGGGAGTCGTTTTATAATTGAGAGGGAGATCGAGAGATTGAGAGAGAGATTTCTCGTTTGGAGTTTCGGAAACTCATCAACCATGTGACCGGGATCAAAGGAATGGGAGAACCTCCCTTTTTATAAGGGAGGAAGAGTGGTGGGGAAGTCACAACTTCCGCACTCACCACTCTCCCACTTCCCACCGTTAAAGGTGGAAAGTGGGAAAACCTCCCCACTTCCCAGGTTTTCCTCCCATTTCTTTCCCTTTTTTCTTTTTTTCTTTTATTTTAATTAAAATAATAATTAATTAAATCTAATTTAATTAATTACAAAAAAGAATTATTAATTTAATTTAATTAAATCTAATTTAATTTAACCAAATTAATATATCTCATTAATTTAATTAAATCATATTTAATTAAAATAACTTAAATTAATCAACTATATTAGAATCAAATTCTAATATCCATGTCTCTCATAATTTTGAATCCAATTCAAAATTAACTTTATATTATAATGTATAAACATACATTATATTAATTTCATCTCATACAATTAACCTTAATTCTCTTTAACTAATTTGAACAATTCAAATTCTTTTCAAGACTAAATGTTCTTAACTATCCTTTACGAGCTAGCAAAGGGACCTAATAGACCTACAGATCGGAAGCTCCAATGCTACGAGATTAATTGATGAAACTCATTAACCATATTGATCAACATTCATTAACTGTCGGTCATTCCACTAAAGACCCACAGTTGCACTCTTCTCACTGTAGAATATTTTGGGTCCATGGATTTTGATCATTAACGTTAAGTCAATCCTTCACGAGTGTTCGTAACCACAGCTAGATCAAATTACCGTTTTACCCCTGTGTTACATCTTGTACCTTAAGTACCGCTGATCCTCTAATGAACAACTAGGTTATGGTCCAACCAATAATCGGAAGTCCCTCTCGGGCCAGTGAGAGGGTGGGGCCCCTTTTTCAAGTTCTGAAGTCAGCACTTAAGAGAACACTTATCTACTTTCCCTAAAGATGGGAAGGAGTGAAATCCATCTTGTGCAGTTATGTTTATGTTCCTAGCTCCCCACTTGGTTTCGTCCCCAAAATAGTAGGAATATTGAGTTGGCGACTCAGGCCAGTCTCACCCATACAAATCAAAGGATGAGCCCTAACAGGCAGGAGTCTATAACTCACTCAAAATTGAGATCGAGTTACCCGGTCATCCTATTGAAATATTAATCTATTAGCTAACGATGTTACAGCTAAAGATTAATTATTTTGTGGTCCAATCTTATACAAACTTATTGTATAGGATACCCTCACTCGCATGTCTCCACACGAACGATCTGGATCAAGCCATTTGTAACTATTACAAAGTGGGTCGTATCCACAGTGTTACCAAGATAAGGTACCCAACCTTATCTATATACTATAGTCCCTTTAGGTTACTACTGGAACATTATCCACCTGTATATCGAATGTATACTGTATATATTTACACTGTATATCAAATATATACATTGTATATTAAATATATACTGTATATATGTTATATACTGTTCCAATTACATCACATAATCTAGGATGTTAGAATCTAATGCAAGTCTAAGAAAAACATCAATAACAAATTTATTGAATGAATATTTGTTTGATGTTTACAAATCACGAGTTTAGTACATAAAACCCAACAGCCATCGCTTTATCTTTTCCTTATATATTTTGGCATTTTCGTATACGTCTCTTCGAAACTCGTCAAGCTCTAACAATTGCAAGCGACGTATATCTCATGCTGCAACATGGTCCAAATTTAGCTTTTTGACGGCCCAGAACGCTTTTATGCTCCAGCTCTAATGGGAGGTGGCATAGTTTTCTAAAAACCGATTTGTACGGAGAAGTACCTAGAGGCGTTTTAAATGCTGTACGGTAAGCCCGTAAAACATCATCCAGCTTTATTGCCCAGTCCCTTCTATTCGTGCTGACTATTTTCTTCAAAATGCTTTTGATTTCTCTATTAGATATCTCAACTTGCCCATTTGATTAGAGGTGGTAAGCTGTAGATACTTTATGTCTGATGTTGTACTTAGCAAGGAGTGATGCTACAACTTTGTTGATGAAGTGGGAGCCTTCGTCACTGATCACAACTCTAGGTGTGCAAAACCTTCTAAATATATGCTTGTGTAAAAACTTGGCGACCACCTTTGCATCACTGTTGGAGCATGCTACTACCTCGACCCATTTTGATACATAGTCAACCGCTAACTGAATGAAGAGATTTCCATTTGCTGGAGGGAAGGGTCCCATAAAATACATGCCCCAGACATCGAAGAGCTTTACCTCTAAGATGTACGTGAGAGGCATTTCAGTCCTTTTGGAAATGTTTCGAACCCTCTGACATTCATTACAATGCTGAACTAACTCGTACGCGTCCTTGAAGATAGTGGGCTAAAAATATCCACTCTAAAAGACTTTTGCCCCTGTGTGTTGCCCTCCATAGTGCCCACCATACGGTGCGGAATGACATTTGGTCAGCACCTGACGTGCTTTAGCATTGGCAATACACCTTATTATCATCTTGTATTGGCAAATACTATAAAGGAATGAATCATCCCAAAGGTAGAATTTACTCTAATGCAAAAACTTCTTTAGTTGTTGCTTATTCATATCAGCTGGCAATATTCCACTGGCGATATAGTTGGCTAGATTAGGAAACCACGACTCTTCCTCCTCATTCAGGACTTCAATCGCCAATAACTGTTCGTCCGAAAATGTCCCTCGAATTTTGTATTCTTCCCTGGAGCTTCCTAGACCAGTCAATCTGGACAAGTGGTCAGCAACAAAATTTTTCGTTCCTTTTTTGTCCTTGATCTCTATGTCAAATTCTTGCAATAGCAAAATCCAGCGAATCAGCCGAGGTTTAGCATCCTTCTTTGGGAGCAGATATTTCAATGCTGCATGGTCCGTGTAGACAGTCACCTTGGATACCAGATATGCTTTGAACTTTTCAAATGCGAACACCACTGCTACTAATTCCTCCTCTATGGTGGTGTAGTTGATATGTGCTTCTATCAGAGTTTTGCTGGCGTAATAGATTGGATGCAACAGTTTTCCTTTGCGTTGAGCAAGGACTGGTCCTACAGGATAGCCGCTGGCATCACACATTAGTTCAGAAGGATGCGTCCAATCTGGTGCTGTTATTATTGGTGCATGGGTGAGAGCATGTTTCAATGTGTTGAACGCCTACAAACAATCAGATGTGAAGTTAAATTAATTTATAAATTTGCAATAAAACCCAGCATGCCCCAAGAAGCTATGAATGGCCTTGACATTCACAGGTGGGGGCAATTTCTCTATTGCCTCTATCTTTGCCTTGTCTACTTTAATGCCCTTGCTGGAGACTCTGTGCCGTAACACAATTCCCTTCTGCACCATGAAGTGACATTTCTCCCAATTCAATACCAAATTTGTTTATTCACATCTTTTTAACACCTTATTCCGATTTTCCAACATTCTGCAAATAACTTCCTAAACATGAAAAATCATCCATAAACACTTCGACCACTGATTCAACCAAATCAGAAAAGATGGCCATCATGCACCTTTGGAACGTTGCTGGGGTGTTGCAGAGCTCGAATGGCATTCGTCTAAATGCAAAGACATACGAAACATGATCATGATATCATAATTAAAACTTGAGAAAATTATGTACTTGAAATCTCGAACATAGTTAAACCGTCATCGAAGTGGAATAATTAAGCAATCCTAAAGACATGACTGGGACCCATGAGGTACTAAGTCCTCTTTGTGTATGGAGCTAATCTTAGCTAGTAGTCCAAAAGTTCAAAATGCATGGAAATAACATAATGGTCCTTGCCGAATTTAATGTGGTGGAATTTTGATGTTGTAGGCATGTAGTTGTTTGCAAATCCAACCCTCAATCAATGATATTATGCATCCATTTATTTACAGCTCTGTAAGTCAGTGTTAACAAGAACGGCTTCCTTTTTTAACATCACTTTGTCCCACATAGAAAGAAATTGAAACTAAATATTTCTTCATATACACATGCGTTGGAAAAAATAATCGCCGAGCCTTGTAATGGGGGCTTGTAACCCAAGTGGGGGCATCAAAGTGGTCGGAGATTCGTCATTCTTGCTTGGCCGGGTCGTGGAAGATGTCTATTGACTTGCCCATTTCAAGTGGGGAGTGGGCTTTGTGTTATAAGCGAAAGCCCGCGTGAGGCTGGTTTCACCTCTTGCTCCTTATAGTGGAAGGAAAACGGGCTGGTACTTCGAAGCCCAATCATGCCTAGTGCGAAGCTCCCAATCCAACAATCACTTTTTGTTTTGTTTTTTCTTTTTATTCTTATGCTTCTTAGTATTTTAAGCTGATTCTTGGTTTAACCAAAAATCAAGAAGCGTTAACCAAAATTAACATATACTATTATGATTTTATATATATTTCAAAATCGTTTTGCTCTTTAATCACAACTTTGACACCCGAGTAGAAAGGAGGGGTACATGGATAAATTGGTACCACGTCCGAATGAGAGGGATCTTGAGATCATAGAAGTATGGTTAAGAAAGATAGTCACTACTACACTAACACGGTGCACCTTCCTTCTCGCTTGCTCAATCTTAAGAATTCCAAAGTTAAGCGTGCTTAGTTTGGAGCAATCTTTGATCATGTGAGTTCTCCCTTTCCTAGTTCAATGTAGTTTGGGGACGAAACAAGGGGAAGCTTGTAGACATGTGACGCCTAAGTAGAAAGGAAGGGTACATGGACAAATCGATACCACATTCTAGAAGAATCTTAAGATCATGGAAGCATGGTTAAGAAAGATTTAAATGAATTGATAGTCACTACGTATACT